GGGGGGTGTTGAAAAGTACTTGCAGAAACTTCTGGCCTGGTCTTCACTGGTTGGTCCCCACTATGGTATGTCCAGTCCCTCTTCTCCAGACCACCGTTTTCCTTGCTACTTCTGACCACCTTGCATTCAAGTCTAGTTCACTTGGCTAAAGTGCCAGCACAGGCATCAGCAGAACATGAGGTGGGGAAGAGTGGGAGGGAGAGAGAACTCCCCCAGCCCTCCCTCCAGCTGTGCATTACCAGGGCTGCGGCCAGAAAGCCAGAGGAGATTCCCTGAAAAAGAGTCTTTGTCTATCCCAAAACCTCAGCCTGGACCATACCTCAGATGGCAGGGCTCTGAAGCACAGCAGCCTTTAGAGGATCTGTTGAGTAAATTTCCAAGCCAATATTACAGATGTGTAAGTGTGAAATTCTAGAATTTGGCAACAAATGAACTTGGATTGTTCTCCTAAGAGGGCAACACTGGTGCAAAGCCTGTTCCCTTGCCCCTTTGCAGCAGTTCATCTCATGCCAAGTCAGTGCCTTCTTCAGCTGGAAGCCTTCCATCAAATTCAGCTGCAATGAGAAACTTCTGAAGGAAATTTTTTTCCTAAATGGCTAAAGTACAGATCAGACCTGAGGACAGGTACACCCCCAGTAACCACAGCTCTCCCTGGTTACACCCCTTGTGCTGCTTCTGCCCTGCTTTGCTTGCTACCTACTTAGGAAACTGCTGATAAAAAGCCCAGTATCCTATCTGAGTATTACTCAAGTTTCCAAAAGATAAAAACAATTCTTACCTCCTCTCTATACATACAGAATGGAGTTCTGTGTATTACTGAGACATTTTGTCATTACCAACGTGCACACCACTAAGTTTACAAACAAACATGTTTATAAGCAGAATGGCATTATAAGCAAGAGTACCACATTCCATAAGACAACTCTAAAGTTAAATTATGATTTAAGAATGATACTCCAGTGAGAGAGACGTGCTTCTCAGCCAGTTTGGCAGAGGTGGCAAGATGTGTAGCCAATGAGGCAGGTAATTCCTTGCTGCCCTAAAGAATCAAATCCTGTTCCACTCCTGAAGCATTTGTGCTGTGCCACACAAGTATTTTATTCAAACTTTTTCATAAGATGCTAAGGAAAAAATTGAGCATATCGTTATGTAATAAGGCTATAACATGAGACATGATCAGTTACACTTGCACACAAAATCCTCAATCTGACAGAAGTAATTTTTTTGTAACCCTATCTTTGAAAATGCTACATTCTCACTACTCAGAGTATTTAATGCAATAAACACAACTATTTGTCTTAAAGCACATCTGCTCCAGGAATAGCATCATTTTGCAGGTCCATAGATCCACTTACCTTACAGTCTGGATAACATGTGTTAGCCACTGGCCAGAAAGTTCAGATTTCATCTCCCAGCCACCATACTGTCTTGATTCTCCTTCTCTGAGGCTGAAGGGAAGCAAAGCTCCACGGATAAGTTTTACCAGAGAGTGCATCACTTCCTGAATCATTTTCTGCATCAGAAAAAGGGAATGAAAAATTAAGCAAAAAGCTCTATCAATATGTTCTTGCAGCCATGTACTTCTCTACAGCACAGCTTGGAATGGATGGTTCACAGCTGGCTCCACATGGTAGAGAGTGGAGGAGAAGGAGGTTTAAGGGCAGACAGATGATTTAAGAAATCTGATTTTTGAAGCAGTGACACTAAAGTGTCCTGCTATGAAGGACAGCTGAAAGGAAACAAGGTTTTCTCCCCATAACTTACCTTGAAATCATTTTGTCTTTGTCTAGCATTCTTCTTTGACCTTTCCATTTGGCCAGATTTTTCAGCAGTCTTGTGAAAATGAGAAAATTGAAAAGTGTAAGTATCTCATAACCACTGTTAAAATAATTCTGAAAAAGGGGGTTTCAAGGTGAAGAAGTGAAAACTGATGAGTTTGTGATGCAATTATAAAAACTAACTCGGGGCACCTCAATAAGCAAAGACTTTATACACAGATAAATTCTACTTACTGCAGGCCAGCGAGCTAACATTTAGTCACAAGGAACAATGTATTTAAGAAAAAGTCAAAGACAAGCACCAGAGTAGCTCAAGCCATATGAACTTCATGAGGCCAACATTTTCTCACTGCAATGTTAGTGAGAGCTAAAATGTACACAGTCCAATTGTGCATCAAGTTTACATGAGGAAACTCTTTTCTCAGCATGGAAGCTGCCCAGAGAGGGACATTGATGGGAAGTGGGAGATACTTCTTGCAACAATTTGGAAGTGTAACGTGGGAGGGAGGGTTGAGGGAGGTTTGGTTTTAGTTTTGTTTGGTTTTAGGAACAGCATTTTGTTGGCAATGCTCTTTAAATAGTTCAACTAAGTGTAAAAGAGACTCTGTAACTTAATCAGCATCTTCATGGACTGTTCACTGCTTCGAAAGGCGAGGAACACGAGTACTCTTTGCGTGAGACAGTTACAGTTGAAGAAAAACATGGTTTGACTAATAGTCTTCCTGTTTGCAGTTCTAACCTTCTGTGGAGTCTACTGAGAACACAGTAAATTATACCGAAAAAGTGATTTCAAATCCCGTGTTCAGTGCAGATGCAGAACTTCAGCCAGCCCACCTCCTGTTCTGTGTAGGTACAGCAACATCTACTGGACAAGAACTGCCACAGCACCAGAGTGTTCTCTGAGGGAAGCAGGTCACTTTTAAGTCACTCATTTGAAATGCTGTATTTTTCAAATTCCCTCTTTAGCTAAAGCATGTCAGATTTTTAAGGTAAATTAAAAGATCTGAAGTGAGCAGAAACGGGACAACAACAAAACTGCCAAACAGTTTTGGAAAATACGTAGCCATTAAATTTCTTTTTTAAAATCTCTGAATTATAGTTTCACACAAGGAGAACACTGCAGGAATTATCACTGCATGTAAGAGATTCACTTCTCTCTTCTAGTGCCTTAAAAAGGAAATAAGCTACATTCCCTCAACCTCACATAGCATCTTAATATTCACACTTTTACAGCTGGATCAAAGAACAACGAAAAAAAAAAAAATCCACAGATCTTTGATAGCTCTCTTTCTTCTTAGTGGTTTTGCTGAAGACCAATACTAAACCTTTCCTGCACAGACAGACCAAAACTGTCTTGTGGTAAGACCAACGGTTGCTCCTCACGTATGTGACTGCACCTAGAGTGATTCAAAGAACTCAGCTTTTTAAACTGTTGAAAATACCACGTAAATCTTTAACTGACAGTATTTTAAGGTCTATAGCTAACCCTTCAAGACTAAAACGAACACCTCCCCCAAAGCCTACAAACTGAATAAGACAAAATACAGCTTGAAATGTGAAATTAACAGGTGGGAATTTTCTTTCCATGTTTGTAAAATGCCTCGAAGGCTTGAAGCAGCCAGTTGAAATGACCCCTCTCTACCACTGTCACAGGATTTTTTCTTAATAGACTGGAGCAATTGTCCTGAATGACAATAAATAGCAAGCAACATGGTAAAAGAAGTTTCTTAATGGACATTTAAAATCTGTATGGTTTCTGATAGAAGAACCTTGACTCTTGAATGTGATGTGGTGATATCCTCAGGTGACCTACAAGCAGTCTTCCAGCTCACAGCACCCCTCCTGCACTGCCCCTCAGAGCACAGAATGAACTGAGGGCATCCTCCCTCCCTCCTCTCTCCCCAGGAGCTTGGGGGCTTCCATAAGGACCACAGGAGCAGAAGAAATCAAGTGTACGAGGCTTAATTTCTTACAAGCTCAGAGTCTGACCCAACAAAAGCAGACGTACTGTAAAGACTAACAGGAAAACTACCTCCTCCTCCTGCTTTTTTGTTTTCAAATACATGGAAACAATGTTTTGTTCAGACATGACATAAGATCACTGCATTTTCCACTTGCACTCATTTTCATGAGCAGAATTTCTCAACTTTGTTTACAGTTCAAGTCTCAGTTTCTCTGGAAATTGCTTCTTCATTGTACACAGAAAGAAAAAAATCAAAATAACTTAAGCAGGTGCATTTGTAAAGTCAAATTTCCAGTGGCACTGTTTTCAAACAGAAAGGTTGCCATTTCCCTTATGAAGTTAATTATTTTTGTGAAAGTCAACAGCACTAAGGTTTATTCTTGATTCTACTTCCTTCACTGAACGTTATGAGTAAGTGTCATATCTTTCTTTTGATTTTATCATGTAAAATGAGGATCATAAATAGATTCTGTTTCACTGGAGCTACAATGCTCTGTATATGGTGTTCAACGTATAAAGGGCTGCTATATATAAATCCTACCTATTAGTATCATCACAGGAAAACATTCTACTGATTTACAGACAGTGGCAATAAGCAGAATGACAGTTTAAGAAATTTTTAGTTAGATTTAGTTAAATCTTTAGTTAGAGAAAAGGAAAATTACAAAATAAGTTTTCAAACTTCTTTTTCCCAAGGTTTTTGTTTCATTTTCTACTAAAGCTGCAAAGAATAGTAGAACTCTATGGCTGCAGTTGTACTTTAGGGATAATTTTGTAGTGGAATACTGTAGGTTTGGTGACTGAAGGATTTAAGCAGAGCAGGACACTGTAAGCATGGCAGGATAAAACAAACTCAACAAATGAGATTACATAGCAACAGTTAAAGAAATTTTACATGCACAAACTTCTTGGTTTGATACTTTCTTTTCCTGCTTCTTGGATTATATTTGTAAAAACCAGATCATCTGAGGAAGGACAACTAGAGGCAGACATGATTGCTGCTGACTGCACTTCCAGACTAGATCCCCTATACAGCTGTGTCTGTAAATCACTTGGAGCCCTGGTCATTTTGGACTCTGGTCTTGGACCTATCCTCACTTTCACAAGCTAAAAGCTCCAGAAATGAGTACTCTTGTTCCAAAGAAAGCAAGTATTTCTTTTTCCTTATGACTTTGTCCCTTACTTATCTCTATCACACAATTTGCAGCTTCTTCAGATTTCCAGTGAAGGGCAGCTGGTCAGCTGTGAGTAAGACCTGGAACTACACAGATATCTGGAGCACACACAGACACACACATCCCTGGCAGGATTCTAAGCAATTCCATCGTATGCTTTTATTTTTTTTTAAAAATAAGACACATCCTGCTTCTATAGGTTGCATTGCAAGACACCTTACTAGTCAAGGCAGCATCTCTCAAACATAATGGCCTACATATTGATTTATAAATCTGATTAAAATCTGTCATCACTTCTCCCAGTGAAATGTAACACTTTAAAGCATAACCATGCTGGAGCTTTGTGCCCTAAAAGCCATTGACAGAGAGGAATCCATACCTCGCTGAACAAGCTGCCATTCACATAGGAAATCCAGAGCTTCCAGAAGTTGGGCAGCTGGCTTACAACAAGTTTTGTCAACTTTTCAACAAAAACGACTTGCTGAGGAGCTTTTTGTCGCCAAGCTGGAAGGGGGAGAGGGGACAGAAAAAGCAAAGTTAAAAAGCTTTGAAGGAATACTAATTAAAAATGTACCCCTAGCTTGTTGCTGCCTTGTATTACTGTTTTGCTGTGTCCACTTCAGCTTCATGCAAGGCTTTGGGCTGAGAGAGGACAAGAGGTAGCAGCAATCCAGTAATGTGATTACTTGGGATACATGTACATTTTTGAAGAGTCTGTGTAATTTATATTTTGAAATACAAACATTCAACCTCAAACTGTGACACGATTTAACTGTCTTGCATGAGAAGATACATCATGGCAGCACAAGAAGGTACAATTCTCATCACTCTTCATTCCATACTCTTGAAAGATTCCCCCCCGTTCCTCCTCTTGCTCAAAAAAACCCAAAAAACAATCAGATATTTATAGACCAAAGCCAGAAAGTTCTTCATAAAAACCCACATTCTGTAAAAAAGTACTTAGGTAAGAAATGTCCTTTCCTGTGAAAAACATGTTTTCCATCTCCTGTGATGTCACCATTAAAAGACTCCCCAGCTGAAGGTGTTTGGACAAGGGTGGTGAAGACACTTTAGCCACAGAAGGGCTTGGCTGGTTGTGGACACTCTGCCCAAGCTTAGGCACACACTTTTGCTTCCCTTTCTGGGTTTACAGATTTTGGGAACAAGGACCAAATAGATGAAGTCACAGGAGTGAATGCAAGGAGAGCCCTGCTAGCAAACACACACAAAACGGGCAACAGCATCAAAAGGGGAGAGGCAATAAGTGGTTACATATGCCAAAAAAATAGATATCCTGGTTTTGGAGAAAAAAAAAAAAGATTACTTTGAGTATTTTAAGAAGTAGATTTCAGTTATGAACTGCTCTTGGCTTGCAAAAAAACCACACAGGACCCCTTTAGTAAGCAATGGCAACACAGAAGGAAGATTTTGGTAGCCAAGGAAAATACAGACACAGAACATGGGTTTCTGTTTGGGTTTTTTGGCTACACCACGCACTGGACACAGGGAACCACAGCTTTATTTTCCAGGTAAAACCAATGCCTACCATCATCACGGCCAGACTGGAAGCTGCTGCCCCTTTTCAGTGAGGCAGTCTGAGGGAGGTGGCCGATGGGCGAGGGCCGCACATCCCCCTCAAGGTCCAGCATGGGGCTGTGGAGCAACGGGTTGCCTAGGAGAGGGGAAAAAAAGTTACCATGGTTCTGCACGTCAGCTGGCATCCAACTGCACGTGGAACTCCAGTTCTGAAGGGATACAGAAGTTATCTGGCAGTAACAGTCCCCATCACCAGCTGCAGCACCGTGATGCTCAGGTTCAAGAGCAGCACAGAGTGAAGTGCATCTGAAGTGTGTTTACTCTGAACTGGTGCTGCTCTCAGACCAGTATGGCACTGGAGACATACCCAGTCACCCCACTTCCAAAGCTGGGGTGTACAGAGCAGTGCTGAGTCCTCTGACACATATCACAGACTTCCAATAGGTGACGGCACAGGGATTTAGTTACTCTGAGAGAACTTCCTCCCATCATTCTCTAACAGCTTCCCGCTGAGAGAACTTCTTCCTCCCATCATTCTCTAACAGCTTCTGAGGATATTTCCTGTGGCCTCCCTGTGGCACTGTTGCTATGGAGCTGACCGTGGGTTCCTCCATTCACCTCAGGGCTGTTCCCATCACCAAACTCCCAGGCCAACAGCTCTGTTTGCTGGCAGTCCTGCAGGACACGCTGCCCTGCCTGGCGCTGTCATCCCAGCTGGGCTGCCTGCAGCCTGGGCTGCTCCTGCTCACCACCTACACCCTGCACCTCTCATCAAAGCCAAATAATCTTTACAACCCCTTGAAAACTGACCAGTCTTCAGCAACGTGGACCCTGCTACACTGATTGAAGTATATTATCCACCAGCACCATGGAGAAGTTCTACAATGATTTTGAAAGGGATTTTTGGGAACAACTTTTCCATCTGAACTAAAACTACAGAATAATGAGGAAAAAACCCTAAAGCTAGCAGAGGCTTTTAAAATAGGTATGTATGCTGCAGGTGTAAACAGGTAATTATGGACATAGACTATATGTCCATGTAACTGAGGTCTGTGGAAGGAGACAAATCCTCTGCAGCTGTGATTTAAACACAGCAGACTGCTAAACCATACCTTAATTCATACAAATATAAAACATTAACTTCTGCAAAAACATTCCAGCAAGCCTGCAGAATGAAGTAAACACACACCAAAAACTCTTCCTCTCCAGGTGAAAATAAGCACACATTCAATATCTTACAGAGAACCCACCCAGAATAACACCAAAATTGAACAGAAGATCCTGAGAAATTTTCAGGGACTCGCATTGTTCTTGGGCTTACATAAGAATTTAACTCATGAGATTCTACATATCTGTATTTTATTTGGGTGACAAAAAATATGTGCCAAGGACAGAATTGTCAGAGGCATTCCTAGTTAAAATATATGCTAAAAAAAGAAAAGCAAACACAAAGGCAAAGCAAAAGCCCCCGAAGTGCAGCAACGCTGTCTTCACAGAACACTGCATTTGGGAAAAGCCACAATACACCAAAATTTCCCTTTTTGATGTCTTTGCACAGAACTTAGGCTCTCACCCTCCCAACACCTTGTTAATATGAGGAATTTCTTGTAAACAGATGGTTTCTAACAACGACAGTGCCACTAAAACCTCAGAATTAAGACAGAGAAACACACTTACCCAAACATCTTGAGGCGGATTAGTTCAATTAAGCCCATTTGCCCGAGGTAGAGCTGGAAACTGCCTGGCTGGGCCAGGAACAGAAATGTCACTGTGGACTGATGCCCTCACTGTCTGCCTGGTGCTAGGAGTGAGCCCAGGGCCCCGGGCTACCAGCCACCTGGGCTGCACTAGCCCCACGGGCTGCACCCAGCCTGGCCAGGAGATAGCGCTTGAGCCCCGCACGGCAGCCTGTGAGTCCGGGACAAAAGGCAGCGCTGCCTCCCAGACAGTTCTTCTCCCACCCCAACTCGCTCCCTCTCTGGAGCCAGGCACTTAAGTCCAGCGCCACGATGTGACACAATGAGTTAATGTTAGCATGGGCTGCAGACAATAATATTTACAAACCTAAATAAACTACCCAAATAATGATTTACTGCCTATTCGGTATTGGATTCGTGTGCTGTGTCTGCACCCCCAGGTCCTGCAGAGAAATTCACATTGCACTGTGCTAACAGGTTTTAGGGTATTCTATAAACAGGACAAACAACACACTCCTGGCAAATCCTCCTTTTTTTTTTTTTTAAAAAAAATACTACATTTTTTAAGTCACAGGCATATTTTTTCCAAAATAGAGCATCTGCATGGACTGTATCTGTCAGTGACACCAACACCAAGTGTGTGTTTGGCCAAGGAGACACAGAGAAAATAAATGTGCTGTATTCTCTTCTTCCACCCAACAGTCATGGCAAACCAGAAGTGAAATTAAAGCCTTATTATATTTACAATTGTAAAATCATGAGAAGATCAAATAAAGATTTTAACATTGTTTTAAATTTTTCTTTTTTTTTTTAAAGGATTTTACTGAGTTTCTACTTCTGCACAGATATTTTAAAGGTATGTAGAATGAAGTTAAAACATTCAGATACTCTTTGAAATATAAATAGTTCAATGCTTTTGTTGGGGCCTCTTCTGCTCTAGAGCAGCAAGATCTCACCCAAACAAGGATCAAAAAAAAAGAAAAAAAACCAAAAAAAACACAATGCTTTTTTGAGGTAAGTTATTTAATTTGTGCTTTCACTTTCCATGCACCCAAAGCCACCTGTGCTGACCCCTCCTGGCAGGTCTGCTCTGTGTTTATGCTACCTGGTCCTCATGCACAAGGGTCCTTGGCCCTTTGTTTGAGATGCTACCTGCACGCAGCATGCTGGAATTGGAAAAGCCCATTAAGGTGGAGTTTGCCTACAGCGGACTTATCCATGCTCTACAAACCAGTCAGTGATTTAATTGTCTACGAGCAGCTTTACTTTCTCTTTTCACAACGATGCCCAAGCTGAGTGCAAAGCCTGCTCTGCAATACCCCTCACTGCACAGCTCTGCTGGGTTTCTCCCTGGGCATCTGCCAGGAGGAGGTTTCTGGTGGGAGCTGTGCATCACCTCTCACCTCCCTTCTTACCCCATGCCTCACCTCTCACCTCCCTTCTTACCCCATCCACAGCCACCCCACGATCTGCCAGCCCAGTGCAGCACCAGTGACACTCACCTAAAGCTTCCTACAGAAGCTGCTGGTTTATCAGGGGATAATATGGAAGCTTAGAATCAATTTGGTTGCAACAGATCTTTAAGATCATCAAATCCACCTGTTCCCCAGCACTGCCAGGTCCCCACTGCCCCGTGTCCCTCACACCACATCTCCACAGCTTGGAAACCCCTCCAGGGGTGGGGACTCCACCACTGCCCTGGGCAGCCTGGCACAGCCCTAGACAGCACTTTCAGGGATGAAATTTTTCCTCATCTCGAACCTAAACTTCCCTTGGCACAACTTGAGGCTGTTTCCTCTTGTTCCCAGGGAGAAGAGACTGATCCCCAAAATTGCTCCAAGTTCCTTTTAGGGAGCTGTTGAGAGTGAGAAGGTGCCAGCAAATTTTGCAGTGACAAAGAAAACTCTAAAGTGACCAACTTTAGTAGTTTTTCAGAGCAATTTTCCACAGTAAGTCAAACACCAGCCACTGCAGAGACTTGCTCATGCACACGAGGCAAAGACAACTGAAAGCCCCTACAGAGGTGTGCCCAGGTGAGGTTACCATGCCCTTTCTGCACCTCAGAGCGGTTTTCTGGCAGGCCACAGCAGGGAAGGAAGGTTGATCTCCAGCCCCCAGGCCCCCTGGAGGGCAGCAAGCTTCCTCACCACCTTTGGAGAGTTTCCCTGCATGCAGCAGCCCGGCCCTGCTGCCCCTGCCCACCCACTGGGGTAGTTGACCCAGCACTGACAGCACTGGGGCAGGTCCCTCCAAGGGCACCGCCGCCAGGACTCCCACTGGGCCAGGCAAGAAATTAATTACCAAAAAATTAACCTGCTTTTTAGTCTTTCTCTCGAGTACTTTTTCTTTCTAACCTTACATTTATTAGGAATTGGACATTTTTAAAGGCTCAAGAAGAGAACCAGCTGTATTTCTATCCAGGAGATGAGTGCAGAAAAGCAAAACTGCGTCACTGTATGGAAAAACCATTTTTGGAATACATTTAAAAAAGAATGCTTTCTTTTAATCATAAGGCTACTCTTCCTTATGCTAAATAATACTGAAACTATTCTTCAGGGTACCACAAAAAGGGTAATTGGGTCGATTATTCCCAGTGGTGTTCCAAGTATCTCACAGCCAAGGAGCAACTCTTATTGTCGGTCGCGTGGGCCAAAAAATCCCGAAGCAAGAGCCAAACACCTCAAGTTCAGCACGCAAATAAAAATGACATCATTTTACTAGGGCTAGTAAAATGCACCAGTGGATGTTAAGATCTTCAGCAACGTTGAAAACAACCTGCTTTTACTTAATTGCCCAAATAAGGACTTAAAAGACTTGGCACCAAGGCAGAATTCTGGGCACAGAAGAGTTCTGCTTTATCTTCAGCAGTATTGATCTGTTCAATTTTGATTGTAAGCTACCTGTGTTGCTTTTCAACCACTAGATTTACCCTCTTAGTCACTATATTTTATGTCTTTATAATACTTTAAATACTTTTTAAAATACTTTAAATAAAATGCTAAAAATACTAAACCATTAAAAATACTATTTAAATACTTTGAATAAAATACTAAAAATACTAAAAGATTAAAAATACTATTTTAATACTTTAAATGCTATTTAAAGTATTCTATAAAATCAGAATGCACTTCTGAACATGTCACGTGCTACCAAAAACTCTAAGCAACAGCAAAGTTACAGAGAGAGGTGGTAAAAGAGGAAAACAAATCCAGTGTCAAATTTTGTACTGATTAATTTTTATTCCTTTTTTCTTTTTAATTAATAACCCATTAAGAGTTTGCTTGACATGTGCTGTCAAAAGGGTATTTCTGCTCTGGCCAGGGGATGTGGTTTAGACACGAAATGGCTCCCAGCTGCAAGAAGTCTTCTTCCAGATGTACAGTAAGCTGAGGCCGTGGAGGAGACCCAGCTGGTGGGTACCAGCCCGAGAGGGGCCTTT